CAAATGAACTAGATCACCCCAATCTCACCAAGAATACAATCACAAGCAAGCAAATGTGAGTTGAGGCTTTACTTGAGCTCATAAGTGTGTGCGCGCGCACGTGTTTGTGTATGTCTACTAGTTAGGAGTTCCAAAAGATAGGCTAAGCTCGGTCATGGCCTCTATTTATAGCCTTACACCACAAAAGAGTCATTAGACTAGTGTTAGTGGTAGATTTATATGAGTTTCATTTGCATTTAATAGACTGTCACATAAGCATTTTAATGACATGACAACATTTTTAAGAAGAGAGAGAAGAAACGAGTTTGGACACGATTACCAACTCTCTATGAGTCATAAAATTAAATACCTATGAAATCATAGAATAAAATTTTTCATGAAGATTGGATGTTTGATCCAAGTTTTATTTCATTCTACATGACATGATAGTCTTGGAAACAACGTCATAAAACTCAGCACTAAGGGCATTTTCAATGGGCATTTCATGGGGTTTTCATGCACATTAAACAAGGTGACACATAAAAAATCTTTGCATGATTTGAGGAGAGAGAGAAGGGAAACGTTTGGTGGGGTGAAACGATCGATTTTTTTATATTTTAGCCTATTTTTGAAAGTTTATCATAAATAGACCCCTGGGAGAAAGATTTTAGAATATGGACCCTTAGCTCGGCGCCATTGATGCTGGCGCCGAGCTAACAATTCTCGGCGCCAGCGTCCCTAGCGCCGAGCTTCTGGGCTCAAAGCGAACGTGGAAGGTGATATGGAAGGGAGCTCGGCGCCAGTCACTTTGGCACCGAGCTCGGCGCCGTCGTAGATCTTTCTAAGAACCGAAAGCAGTTAACATTAAACCCTAAACCTAGGGTTTCCCATTTGATGCACAACAATGAACCCATAACATAACTACATGCGTTTAGGTTTGCTAGCTTTTTTCACGCATTGGCATCATTCTACGGTTACGGTTGTATAATACATATATTGAGGGATAGAATGAAACCCTAAGTGATGACAATTATTACGTTAAAAATCCGACTAATATATACCGAATCGATGCGAAAAAAACTAGGAGGAGAGCGAGGATACCTTGCTCTCGAAGATCTACGGATCAAATCAAAGTTTCCAAGATCCAATATGCCGATTCGTGAGGTAGGGTGAAGTGGGGAGAGAAAAACCCAAGAGAGGGAGAAAGAAGAAGAAGAACGCTCGGGCACGAAGCTTGGGCCGGGTTAAATGGTAGAGAGCTCGACGCCAAGATCTACGGCGTCGAGCTCGGCGCCAGACCTTCCACGTTCGCTTCGAGGTCAGGAGCTGGGCGCCGAGACGTGTTAACTCGGCGTCAGCATCAATGGCGCTGAGTTAAGGTTCATATTTTGAAATCTTTTCTTTAGAGGTATATTTGTGAGATTTTTTTTTAAAAAGAGCCAAAATTTAAAAAATTCGGGTGAAACGACCATGCAGTGTTTCCAACTCGTTGGAAACCGCACGACACCTGCGTTGGGGGAGAAAATTTCATCTGAGTCGATCCCGTGTGCGCGCCTCCAACGAGCGGTCCCTTCCACCTCCGGCCGTCGCCCTAGCCTCGCAGCCGCGCTCGAGACCGCCACCCGTCGCTTCGCCGCGGCCAGAATCGGTCCCTTCCGCGACGCCGCCCGCCGTCCCCGACCCCGACCCCGCTGCAGCCGCGTCGGGCTTGCCGTAGCCAACCACGACACCGCCTCCAACACCGGCCTGCATCCGCGCCGTCCTGCTGAAGACCCACGACGAGCTTCTCGCCGACTACGTCCTGCTCCGCCCGCGACCGCGCCTACTCTGTCCATGCCAAGCGCTGGGACGCGCCCTGCGTCTCCACCACGGTCACGTCCCCGTGGTGGAAACTATTGTCGTCCTCGCGACCGTTCATTGAGGCTGGCAGCAGGAGTCCGGGCGGTTTGGTGCGCCCGCGGATGACGGCCGAGCGGCATGCGGATGCGATTTGTATGCGCTGGCGCTCGTCGCCGTCTCCAGATTCGCATTCAGGGCCGGCCGCGTGCTGCAAGGCATTGGTCGTGGCGTGTTCAATTGACTGAACGTATATGTTGCTGTTTGGTTGAATCTAGATGCAGTTGTAACACTTGAATCTGGAAGGTTATAATTTCAGTGATAAGCTGTGAATCTCTTGGCATACTCGATCGATTTTTGATGTGGTTGGCTGTATCCTTTCTGCAAGAGACTACACAGTTCACTATCATAATTGATCACAACACAGTATGCTAATTAAATGTTAAAGCTCTCCTATAAAACTGTGACATGAAACTGTACATTGAAAGACCTCGTTTCATTCTCAATGTCATATCTTAAAAACTGGGAGGTGAAACCTTCTACTGAGACTGGCCTTACCCACTTAGTGGGCTGGCCACGAGACCATCTTGAGACCTCCAGTGGGTTCACTAGAGCTTACCACTAGAGTCCTCAATGGTTACAGACACACGTGTCACAATCTAGCTGTTGTCATGAGCTAAACTCCAATGACCACTGGAGAGCTCCGGTGGGTACAATGCTCTTTGGAAAGATTGTCCGATGCTAAGCTCTGGTACATTTTTTGAATCTCCCATGTGCCCCCGCTATTAGAACCAAGCTCCGGTGCTCACCTCTTTGGTGGCACCGGAAGGCAAGGTTTGCCTCACTAAAAAACAATATGCAAGGCCTGCGCTCTAAGCTCCGGTGATCAATAGAGGTCTCTTACGATTGGACCGACCCAACTAGAGACATCTAAGGCCCCGTTTGGCCGGGCTCCCGCGTGCTCCGGCTCCTACACTATAGCAACACTATAGCCGGAGCCACGGGAGCCACAAAAACGAGCTTCTCCGGCTCCGATGGTGTCAGTGAGAGAGAAAAGGAGGAGAGAGAAAAACGGCTTCAGTGAATAGTGCAGCTACAGTGATTCGGCAACAGGAGCCGGAGCTGCTCAGAGCCCGGCCAAACGGGGCCTAAGCTCTTGTGCTCCTCTTCCGTGGGCCACTAGAGAGTTATGTAAAATGTCCACCGAGCTTTTTTTCTCAAACCTTTTCAAGTGGTTAACTCCAATAAGTCTTCCACGGAATGGCCATCACGTTTAGCACTAAGTTAGCATTAAAATATTTTCAAAACAACCCAACGAAATAATTAAAGCTTCTCAGATAACTTTTTTACCTGGTAGGAATGTCATGGACCGGAGTAGTTATTCTCCAGAGAAACCTTGCATAAACTAGATACCAAAAAATGGAGTGATTTTTAAGATTGAATTTGACAAAGACATGTGCCAAAGTAGATGGGATTTCTTACAACAAATACTTAGAATGAAAGGTTTGACCCTACTTGGTGCAGGTTTATTCAATCTTTTGTTCAGGGAATGTAGGAATAAAGATAACGACCAATTGGGAGTTTACTTCCAGTAAAAAAGAACTTAGACAAGGTGACTCACTCTCACCGGTACTATTTATAGTGGTCGATATGTTGGCGATCATCATGATCATGACATAGAAGAAATACCATTAGTAAAATATAGAGTATTACAAAACTCTCTTTTTTTGTTTTTGCAAAATGATCGATTGGCATAGAAGAAATACCATTTAATAAAATAGAAAATCTTGTGCCAACCTGAAAGATCAAGGTGGCCTATGAGTACATAACCTCGATATTCAGAATAAGTGCCTTTTAATTTGAGTATGTGGCTATTTAAGCTATGCAATGAGGATGGTGTTTGGCAGGAGTTGTTAAGGAACAAAACCCTAAAAGACAAAAACGCCTTGACACAAGTGAATAAAAGAGCGGGACTCACTTTTGGACGAGCCTTATATATGGGGGTTAAAGACCAAACTCCTACACCTAGGAAAGTTCAAGCTATCTAGCGGAAACCAAATTAGGGCAACCAGCTTCTCAAATTGCAACACCCAAATCTATTTAATATTTTAAGATGTAATCTACTATAGGGGTCATTCTGAGTATGAGCCCAATTAATGTCTCTTTTACAAGTACAATGAATGACTTAGCTTGGTTGCTAGAATAGCAAATATTAACATTAGTGAGGATTTGGATGTGTTTGTGTGGAGTCTTTGTAAGAATGACTCTTTTCAGTTAAATAAACCAATGTATAGGTTTTTTTGTCAATAGAAAGACTAAGGTTATGTAAGAAATTTGGCGTATCAATATTCCACTGCAAATAAAAAAAATATGGTTTCTAAAAGGAGAGGCCATTTTAGCTAAGAACAAGTTAACTAGGAGGAATTGGCAGGGGAGTAAAAGTTGTGTGTTTATTAAACTAGAATCAGTGCATCACATGTCCTTATTTGATTGTCATTTTTTTTGCATTTTTGGTATTCCTTCACCAAGGAACATTAACCATCTAATTAATAGTTGGTCTAAACAAGGGATCGCCAAATAACATTTTCGCTACTGATAGGAGTTGTTTCTCTTTGTCGAAAAATTTGACACACGAGGAATGAGATAGTTTTTATAACTGCCATCCATTTTTTTGCTGGTGTTATTATTCAGAGAAACGCATTGTCTTCGTTTGTTGTCTTTGTTGCAATGTACCGACGATAACAATGAATTTTTGGTGTATGAATACCAAACCCTAGAATCTAGAGCTATCCGGTTCTTCGCATTCATGGATGTCCATTTGTTTCCTAGATAGGCAATTAATGTTGGGTGCTTTTTTTTTGAAAGATCTGGTTTCCCGGCTTTGATTTATAATAAGAAGAAGGTAGCAAACAACTGTTACAAGCGTGAGGGGTGCTACCATCCGCAGCCTAGGCTGCAGAGGTTTGAGGTTCTACATTGGTTTATTACATACTAAGAAGTTGTGCAAATGTTATAGGCTTAAGTTCACCACCACCAGCTCCCAAACAGCGTTTAGTCCACCTTTCCCAAGAACTCATCACGAACCTAGGCATTCCTAACTCCAACAGTACGAGACCGGCCAGTGCTGACTCTAGTCTACAATACATGGATCACAGAAGCAACAACACCGGTTTTGCATCTAAGCTTCAAGGAACCTCCATCTCAACCTCCTCCGTCTCCTGTGCTATAACCGCTAGTGCTTCGGCCAGCTCCTTGTTGCTTAGGCGTGTGGCAGCCCTGATCACCATGACAGCCTGCTCCAATAGATCATCAACAGACATATCCACATAGGCGGTAACAGCTGCATCAGGCGCAGGTGACAGGTTATTGATGAAGTCGAGTTCGTGCATCATCTTCCTCATTCCCCGTTCAGCCACCGACACTATTGATGGATGCGCCACGAGGCACAGACTCGAGCGGGTAGCGACCATGTTCTTCTGCTTCCTTCCCGTGTGTTTGCTACAGACCTATTTAGGTGGCAAGGTCGGTGAGGAGGTCGGGCGCGGGAGCAGTGGTTCAGGGAGGCTCTTGAAGATGGCACTACAAAAGTCATGGATGTCATCCACCTGGTCTGTGTTAGGGTCATCGTAGAGGTCGACACCCAACGTGGGGTCTCCCTCCCTGCCAGAGTCAGTGCTCGATGTAGCAGACGCGGGCACCGTCGCCATGCTGACTTTCATACGGGTGGCATGGTGGGAGGTGGCCTTTACCTCGCTATCATCCGAGGACCTGTCTGCCGGAGCCTAGGGCCTTTGTCCCATAGTCCCTAGAGCCAAGACAGGCTCACCCACCGAGGAGCAGGGTGCTTCCTTGCTACTTTTCGATGAGAAGCGAGGGTGAGCTGCGCTGTCTACCCTTGAGAGGGTGTAACGACCCGAGTTCGCTACAACCTAGGCCCTCAATTTTGATCACCGATGAAGGTCCTAGATGAGCCCTGTAGGCTTTTGGATATAGCAAAAACCGTGGATACATTGCTTTTCTACCCAACAAGGTAACTCGCAATCCGAAAGGGTGAAGCATCCACAACGGTCAAACCTAGTCACTGAAAGGTGCACCACATTGGCTCAGATTGCTAGAGGTTAGGTTATTGACCTTTGGAATAAAGTTAATTGGCCTCAATGCCAAATCCTATGTGTTTGGATCCATCCCTCAACCAACAAAGAATACCGGACGGTCCGATGCCATACCGGACCATCCGTCAGTACCTGAACTGCATGCAGTGAGTGGGGAATGAGCTGTCCTCCACTCAACCCTTGGCCCCACATGTCATATGCATGAAATGTAAGATGGGATCATTAGCTGAAGCAATTCCCAACTCAACCCATTCTCTCATTTCTCACCTTCCTCTCTCTCTCTCTCTCAAAAGGAACAAGAACAAGGAAGAACTAGAGAGAAAATGGAGATTAGAGATGAAGGTGGAAGATGAAGTGAAGACATGCAATCCAAAATCATCATCGCATCAAGCTCAACTTATCCTCATCTCATGGTCTTGGTTAGCTCATGAGCTCTCATCTCAATTAGTTGGAAATTTCTCTCAAACCCTAATCTCAAGCTTTCATGCATGTATGGATCATGGAGTGTGGTGACATTTCACTCATCACAAAGGTAAGATCAAGGCCCTATGCATGACCAATCTCAAGGAATCCCTCTCAATGTCATTCTCATGCATTTCTATGGATTCTTGCAAGGATGTTGATGTCTCTCTCTTCAAGGATGGAAAGCAAGGTGTGCTCAATTTCTTATCAAGGGTCCTAGCCTCTCATGATTCTCAATCTTGGAGTTAAGTTCCTTTTGCTCCATCTCAAGTCTTAATCTCAAGTGGTTCATGGGAAGAGATAGAACCCAAATCACTAGATGGACTAGATAGCCAGAACCCAACACCTAACTAGCTCTAGCCTAGCATATCCCTAGAGTCATCCTAGAAGTTTGGTGCACATGCACAACAAATTAGGGATCTAACCAACCCAAAACCTAAAGCATAGGTTTTGTCGCCCAACTCGCGGAGTGTCCACCAAGTGTGGCAGAGCGTCCGATAAACCTTCCCAATTTAGTAAACCCCCTCTAGAAGCATCCAAACCCTTGCTAAGTGGGAATAGCGGAGTGTCCTCATCGGAGTGTCCGCTGAATTATAAGGACTTATAGTCAGAGAACCTAAGAGCACCTGACTCCTACCGGAGCGCCCGTCATTCATGACGGAGCATCCGATGAATTATAAGAAATAGTGACCCAGCAACCCGAGAGTACCCAGCTCATACCGGAGTGTCCATCATTGGTTGGACCATCCGATGTTGACATTGAACCCTAGAAATGACTAAGTCTTGAGCCTATCGGAGTACCAATGACCTCCACGGAGTGTCCATCAACCTGAATAGAGCCAACCCAGGGAGACCCTACCTCGGCACCCAACACAGTGGAGTGTTCGTTAGTTAGGATGGAATGTCCGACAGTACACAGAGAGTGTGAGATTGTTTAGCAAGTTTACCCAAGAGGCCACCCATACTAGTTTGTGTCCTATAAACAAATAGCATGACAGTAGAGCCATTGTTAGATGCCTCTTCCTAGGTTCTAGTTGATAATCTATTCCTATCTATTCATACCCCTTCTTATCATTCCGAGCATTGACGTATCTCTCCAATCGGATCTCTCTTGATCTTTTCAGGAATCGATTCGAGTATGGAACGTGTGCAAGTCCTCGTCATTGGCTTCGATGAGTCAGAATGGCAGCACAACCAGGCAGGCACCTCACTACTATGAACCCTATTTTGGATACTTATGAAGTTCCATTATGAGTTATGCATTTCATGTAGATTTGGATAGTACTCTTGTTCACTGTACACTTAGAGTCACTCATTAATCTAGTAGAAGTCTCTCATCTAAACATTGGGAATGGAAACGCTTAATTGCTTATTGCTTAGTTGCTTAGCAATGGTAGAAGTCGAGCATGAGAATGGAACTCATTCTCGTGCGTGTAGGATGCTACACTTGGATAATTACTTACTAAAACCAATGAGGGTATAACTTGACTTACTTTCCTAAATCTAGATAGGATTCAATTCACTTAAGGTTTGTAACTTGGATACAATTTTGGTAACTTCGCTCATGCGAGGGATAGGTCATTATGAGTGTGGGATCTCAAGCGATGTAGCTTGTGGAGCAGTTAAGGACTGTTTATTAGGATATGTGAGTCTGAGTAATCACCAATACAGACCGCATGTCATGGATGGTGTCGACAAGCTAAGTAACTAATTGCGATCAGTTTATTCATGAAACTGGCAAGGGTGTTGCGCCGGTCGGGAATGTTCGGGACATTGACCGGGCACCAGTCGAACCTTTCATGAGACACTTGGGCCGGATTAGGGAAAGGCTAGAGAACATGAGGCAACCCTTACTACTAGACCCGGTGTATGGTGGCTAGTCCAATTTTTCGTGTGGGTACAGTTGTACACCTCTGCAGAGTTTGAAAGCTTGAAGTCCTTTGGGACAGAACCATTCGGTTGTTCCTACTTTCTATACCCATGGTAGTGTTGTTGATGGATTATGAGCACCTTTGATCTATATATATGCTATATGAATACTTTCACTCTAGTGGTAGAACATAGCATGTCATACTTATAATAAATGCCATTGCTTTTCTACAAATGTACTAATGCCTAATACTACCTTTTGCATCCACCAAATCTTATATGTTGGAATTAAGTCCTACGAGTACGCAATGTACTCATGGTGCATCCATTAAGTTGTTTTGCAGGTAGCAAGACATTCCTCTGAGAATTAGCTCCGATGAGTGCAACGGTTAGCAGACCTTGGAACGGGTGTTCTCCATGATGAGTTGCGTATAATTCAGTGTGTAGATGAGTGACAAGAGATGTAAACTAAAGTTAAGTTCATAGTTGAGCTAGAAGCACTAGATTGTTTAGTAGCTTTTGTCATTAAAATTTATTTAAATAGTCAATGTTGTTCCAATTACGAGTTGGCGGTCTAAGTGTGTAACCGATTGAGTTGTTCGGTATGCCCTGTATCAAGTATGTGTGTGTAACTCAATGCAAAGGTCCTAAAGAGGAGTTGCTAAGTGCGCTCCTGGGGGCCTTGCTATGGCAAGGTAGCGACACCCTCCCACCCCATGTCTCCCCCGCCACAGACTCGGGGTATCGGAGCAGTTGATTGATTTAGACCTACAATCCTCATACAAGGCATCCTTCAACCCACTCGATATGCACTTGAGCTTTTGACTTTAAAATTTTGCTCTATGCTTTAGGCAAACCCTAAGTTATCTTAACCCTCTTCTCTAGTTGAATCTAGCCTCTTTTCCCCCAATACTCTAAGTTACAAAGAAAATGTCTGGAAGGTTTTGTTTTTAAGGAAAATATAGGAATTAATTAGTGTTTGGTTTAGGATTAGGAGTGATAGTTATAGTTTTACCTAAGAGAGGAATACTAGGTTGCGATAAGACGCCCTTCTAGACCAAGCGTGTCATGCGAAGAGTGTTGAAAACGTTAGAGTAGTCTCGACATCCCTATCTAGATCCTTTGAAGTTCCCAATCAGGTTCTCTTCACTCGCCATGCTGGATCGGTGGAAATTTCGGCAGAGTCTCCCCTGTATTTAGGCCTTATCTCCCACCGATAGACAAATATATATACAAGAATCTAAACTAGAGCAACAACCATCAAGCATCAAGAAGGGGACGAGATATCCAGCAAGTCCAGGTGTCTAACTTGTCACCTTGATGGATGACACACAGGGCAAACCATAGTGTCGAGTACATCACAATCCAAGTACGCCCAACAAAACTGGATGGTGAAGCAAATCAAAGTTTAAAGTATCTGATAAATGCTCCCCTGATGAACTAGAGCGAAACCAACTCTTGAGCATGATAGTGGCAGGTATGAAGGAGATCACTGGTCGGGCGGAGTCTGACTAGGTTGTTGAGGAAACGACGTCTGCAAGTACAACGGAGGACGGAAGGTTCCTGGATATATCATCATTGGCTGTCCACCTGCGCAAAGATACGGCATGAGCAATAAATAGAAGGCATAATAGATGGAAAACAAAGGTATCATCAACGTAACCATAGGAAGTACAAGAATACCTGAAGAACCTACAGGGGAATCAACAACTCCCTAAGTGGCTAGAATGTGGCAGAACCTCCTAAATTATAGGGCCACATGCACCTGTCACTATCTAATGACCTCTGACGACTATGCATATGTTCCCGGTAACTTAAGAAGACTGTCGGGTGTCCTCGGAGAACCCCGAATCATCCATGATTTTTTTGAGCAGGATCCATTATAGAGTCATTGCAGTATTACAATAGTTTATTCATTAATTTACATCAGAGTGAAATAGCGGAAGTCTTACAATAACTTAGTTTACAAAATAGTTGTTTCAAACCTTACAAACTAAGTATGATTATTATTACAAACCATAGTAGTT